TCATAACTATCCGAAATAAAGCTCATGCCAATGGCCTAAGTGGTCACCTTTAATATTAAAAAAAAAAAAAAAAAAATGTTCTATTGAAGATAGTGTGGATAAATTTAATATACAAGAGAAATTTTATTTCGATTTTTTATTCTGTCTCTTCTGAATCACAATTCTTGATGTTTGCTAAAATAAAACAGTTACCGTATTGTCGTGAAATAATGGGCATGGGTGTTAATTAGAGGTTTGGCCCGAATTAGGCTTAAATTGGGCCAAAATTTGTAATTTCACCCCTGAGCGTTATTTCGAGACAATACAGCAGAAACAAAACACAGATAAGTCATATATTTAACTTTATAACTTACCTAAACTATCTTTAGAACCTGGAGATAAGTTTTACATTCTGAATGTCAGAATTTCTCATAATAAAATCTCTCATATTAGCATTTTTAATTAATTCAATTTCATATTTTGATCCTTCATACAAAATCTATCAGCACTTCTTTTTTCGAAGAATTCTTTTATAATTGCGCTAATTGTTGGTAGTAGAGAGTAATTTTGCCACAAACTTTTGTTATTTGTTACTAAATTCAAATTTAGTCAATTATAAGTGTAACGTAGCAAGATCAAAACGTTCGTTTGACAAAAACCACATCTATCCCAAGAATTTACACAAGAAACCGCCCTCTATGCTCTATTAAAAAATTCCATGACTAATTTTACTACATATGCTCTTTCCTAACCTAAATATAACACTAACCCTAACTTTAACAAAATTTAGTGTTTTGTTGAAATATCATGCTATCCGTAAAATTCATGGACACCTTGGTGTACATATAGTTAGGCGAAACCTTAAAATAGAAATTATAACAATGCATTTGATTATAGTTATAATTTCCTTTTGGGTTTCACCAACAACTATACGTACTCTGGTGGATTCTCGTCAGAATCTTCTATATTGTGTCTATTTACACAAAATCTGTTACAAATACTGTTGTATGTAACGAAAGTTGTTATTATAAAGGTTATGTATTGCCTATTTAACCTGCACAATATCCTTTCATCTATCTTTTACAAAAAAATGAGGCATCTTTATTACATTTGCATCTTATTGCTAAATTTTCAATTCTCATATGTTTTAGTTAAAGCGTACACTCCATTACCTAGTTATTCACATGGTGCCATATTAATTGGCAAAAAACTTTATATATTAGGCGGTGATGCTAATAATACTAGTATTCAATTTGCACCCACAAAAGATGATTTCTTTTATCTAGATGTCTCTGCTGAATTTAATACGACAAATATTCAATGGACAGATCTGTCCAACGTTGTTGGTATTCCTAAACAAAGCAGAGCAGCAGTATCTGCTAGCGGTCCAAACAAGGACATCATTTTTTTAATTGGTGGAGTATTTGAGAATTCTAGTTATGGCATTCCTTTAGTTTACACGTTTGATACCGTAAAAAATGTGTGGAATACCCCTACTATACAAGGGATACAGCCGCCCAGACATCAATATAGTTATTCAGTCACCGATATTACAGGTAAAATATACATATTTGGTGGATCATGTAGTGTCGATACAGGAAGTTCAACTTTTAGCTATGATAATCGAATGGATATTTTAGACCCTATTGGGATAGCTTGGTCACAAGGATCTCAACTCCAAGCTCCCACACTGAGAGATAGATATTCTGCTACTTTACTGCCAAATGGTATTATTGTTTATATAGGCGGATATGACGTTAATGGTCCTACGAACTTAAAAGAGGTGTGACATTTAATTTAGTAATTTCTTTATTAATAAATTATTTAATAACTTATTGCTATATTTGTAAGATATATTTGTATGATACATACAAAAAATGATGCATGGGAAACAATGGTAAACTGGCGTTAATGTACAGGTAAAAATTTTAATTTGCTAAAGCAATAAAAATAGCAAAGACAGACTATTAGCAAATTAAAATTTTTACTTCGGTATTATACGTAGTCAACTTTAGCACACTGAGATGACTAATACAGTACGACTTTTTTAGATTACCGTCGGAACCATTTCTGATGCACGTGCACATCATTCATCGGTGCTTGGTGAACTTAACATTTCTAAGTTTAGTCCATTAGCTCTACTATTAAATTTACTTATATATACTGCGTATTTATTTATAGGATTAAATAACGATCATATTATCATTTATGGAGGATTGTATAGTTATGCATCACCAGCAGTAGTTCACGATCTTTTTGTGTTAGATATACGCAATAAACCATATCAATGGTTTACGCCAAATGTTTCTGGTATTATTCCGCCTATACTTTCAATTCATACCGCTAATGTAGTCAGAAGATATATGATGGTATATAAGATAGCGTTTATTATTATTATTATTTTTCATTTACATATATTTGATGTATTATTAATTAAATTTGTAGGTTTCATCTTTTTACAACAATATATAAATACTGATATGTATATTCTTGATATTGGCGACGATTCTGAATACAAATGGGTTACATCATTCAATCCTAACTCACCATCTACTTCAAGTCATATTCCAAAACTCATTCAAAATGGAGATAGTATTAGTACTGGTACAATGATTGGGGCTATAATCGGAACATTCATAGGTAGTATCTTGCTTGCAATTTTTGCATTGATGGTTTATCGACGGTATAGAAGAAAACATCCACGTGCGATCCCAACTCATGGGAGTTAATTCAAACTTTATATTAATCACTGTAAGATTTCCCGTTTTTATTGCAAGCAAAAAATCAATAGTATGCAGCTAAATGTTGTTCTGTTAATTCCTTACAAATGGTTAGTACACGTTACTCTGCTATCGCAATTTTTTTTATTAGTAAAAAAAATTCAAAATATCGATACAGTGAGTTATACCGACATTTTAGAAATTTTTAGAAAAAAAGGTCAATATAGAAATGATGTATCCAGATGTCGTGTAACTCGAGCCTCCGGAGTTAACTAAATTTGCCCAAATAAAATTGCTCAGATTGGTGCTACGTATCATATAGATGACCAGCATTATCGTCTAGTCCAAAAAGCTTGGGTTACACGAAAAGACAAAGTTTTTTGGGCGCCACTAATTTGTCACTCGATCACCCGGTACTAACGGACAACTACTATGGAAAACACTATCTGGGATATCGCCTCGTTGCCCACGTGGTCTACAGCTCTTTCCTAGCATCGTTAACCTATTTTATAGCTATCTCTCTTCCTTTTTTGATATCCGAGCTGTATAGTCGGGCAATCAACGTACTAATCCTTGATATCCGGGTTGTTCACCCGGGCTATCGACCATCCCTAACCTCTCAACTCCTTCATACACCAATTACTCCTACCCCGCGGTGGGTGGGTGGGCTTCGACGAAGCTAGACTTGTGTCGAGCTAGCAGCAAAGATAAAAGAGGAATAACGAATTCACAATTTCTATTGCTTAAATACTCACTAACTATTACCTCATTCCAATCAGATCAATACTCATCGCACAATATATCGTACTTACACATTTCCCATTGTTACCTCTTAGTCAAACTCAAACTCATACTGATCGAACAATACATCATACTTACATTGTTGCCTCTTAATCGATCTCAAACTCATACTCATAGAACAATACATCATACTTTCTAAATGTTACATTCATCATTCAATCGATCAAATTGACATCACCCAGTACCTCATACTTACAAATCTCTTATTCAATGTTCCGGGTCTGGGTTGTGATCTCGTGACTCTGTTCACGGCATCTCACTTACTAGTATAACCAGAGTGACGTATATATATATGTAATACTGTAAGCTAGAAAATATCTAAACCTAGATGTTATTGATTAAAAACCCACATGATAATGTCTTGTTTTATTTTAAATAATGTTAGTTTCTATTGATATGACGCTAAAATGAATATCGTATTAATAAAATACCATAATAATCATAATAATGTTATAATAATAACAATATCGTAATAATAAAAAATATTATAATAATGAAAATGTTCTATTATGATAGTGCGGATAAATTCTATATACAAGAGAAATTTTTTTCTATTTTTTATTCTGACTCTTCTGAATCACAATTCTTGATGTTTGCTAAAATAATAATAAAAAAAAAAACAATTAGAAACAAAACACTCAAACAAGTCATAAATATTAAACTTATAACTTACCTAAACTATCTTTAGAACCTGGTGATTTAAATGGATTAGCTTGTACATCCTGAATGTCAGTATTTCTCATAATAATGTCTCTCATAGTAGTATTTTTAATTAATTCAATTTCATCACTTGTATATTTTGATCCTTCATACCAAAATCTATCAGCACTTCTTTTTCGAAGAAATTCTTCTTTTATCATTGCGCTAATTGTTGGTGGTAAAGGAGTAGTTTGGCCTTTACTCTCAGCAAACAATCCAATAATTGAGTCTATTTTATTAGCTTTACCATAAATCTGTTGTAAATTTTTTGCTATTGTCATGTTATTAACAATTACATTAAAGCATTCTACAGAATCTTGCTCGCTTGATCTATTACAATTTTGATTATTGTAAACGCTTCCCGCAGGATGATATACAGAACGGAATGTGTCATAATCCGGAAGACCGAGTAGACGACCTTTAATTAGAAAGAAATAAATTAAGCACTATTGAAATTGATATAGAATATTATTGATATGAAGAACATACCTCTAGCAATATCCATAGCTGCCATGTCATTTACGCCAGGCATGTTTCGTAATGTACTTGAAAATATTAAACCAAACTCTTTAGATGGTGCTCTCAACATGCTAATGATTATATTATCTAAACCTTTTCCACTTGATCCTGAAGCTAAAGTTAAAATTCTATATTCAAAAATTAAACTATTAGATTATAATGTATAAAATTTTAAATTGGTTTTAAATGGTTTAATTACTGTACCTAACAGGAGTATAATCAAGTAATCCATCAGTAAAATTTAAACCTTGATATGGTGATGGAATCCTGACAGATTTTCCCATAAAATAAATTCGATTTGAATGAGAATCAGGGAATTTAAAATCAGGATGAGGATCAAAGGGTTCACCAGTGCATCCATCAATAAGGTCGTATGGTCGAACATTTGAATGACCGTATCTGAACGCAACACCAGCAAAATGAATTGAAGTATCAGCAGATAATGAATCGTTATAACCTGAATACGATGGCATTTTAACACCAAGCGCAGCAGGTAAATATTCTTCAAAGATTACTTTTTGATATTCTCCAATTGTCATTTTTCTAGCATATTGAAAAATTTCTTCGTCATTTTTTAATTCAGGTTTTTCTTTTGCTATTTTATCCACCCAATAATTATGTTCACGAATCCAAAGTGTATGCATAATGCATAATTGAATATTTTCTGAACAACGTGCATCACCACTGACAAGTGCATCATCAGTATTAATTGTTGGAGGTAGAAGACTAGGAGTAATATTTACTTTACCGGAACTTGGTGGAACGTTTTCTATAGTTAAATTATTTAGTGCAGTGTTATAAGCACCACCATTTCCTATAAAATTTTCAGTAATTAATTTGCCATCTTTAAGAGTTCGAAGCTTATATGCAGTATCATTATCTTTTCCGTATATTGTTGATAGGTCAAGGTATGAATTAGCAAAATTGACAGGGTATAAAGTGGAATTTATTATACGACCCCATGAGAGTGATGATGTCATGTCTGAAAGAAATTTATTGTTAGTACTAGTTAATATGAACGAAAGAACTATTTGAGCGAATTATTGATTGATGCTTACATGGAGTTTGAGAAGGGTTGAACAAACTTCTTGCAGCATTACTAAAGACCTTATCATTAGTAACGTTACCTATCATAAATCTTGGAATGGCTTGAAGAGCAGCATCTTCAAGATCATGATTAACGAATTGACCAAAAAACTAAAAAAAAAATTTTAAATGAAGTCACATGTGACGTCACGTGACCAGATAGATATATTTATTTTCAATACTTACGACTTCAAACATTGACTTTCGAGTCGAAGACAAAGTATCATCAGTCAAAGGACTTCCAGAAAATACCGGCTCTTGACCACTATCAGATAACATGTTTGAAATCATTCTAGCATCTATTTTTATTGCTGGTTCACCAGTAATGCTTTCTTTGTAAATCGCAGGAAAAGATCCTCGATCATAAATTCTATTTAGAGTTCCCCAATTTGAATAATTAAGATTATTACAAGTTCCATCATAATTTCGAATGTCTAGCTCTATTCCATTACATGTCCGCAGTGCTGGCACATCTGGTAATGTGCCTGGACCATTTGCATACGACTGCGCATGAACAATTAATGGATGGTTTGTGTAGATAAATAGATATATCAAGTATAGTGAAAGAAAAATGGGTTTATCGATTAAAGCCATGATACAGTATTAGTACGTTAGTAGTTGTAATCAAAAATTTTACGATGAAAAGAAAAAACAACACACATCTTTTATTTGTTTTTTTATTATTTATTATTAATATATTTTTTTTATTAGCTGTGATCTTCCTCGTAAATAATAGATATAATTGTATTTCCAAAAAATCATGTAGATTGTTGACAACAAAATTAGAATATTAGAATATAATAGTTTGAATTAATTGCTCTTGCCGAGTGTAATAAATATAAGTATTTATAGATATAATTATCTATATTCATAAAACTGACTATTAATAATCAAATATATAACTAAAAAAATAAAATAAAATAAAAAATAAAAAGAAATAAAAACTAATAATAGTAGAGAGATTGGTAAAATTAGCAAATTGGCAGTTGGGCTGTGTGAATTACATATATGTATAGATATATTATCATTATATACATGGATATATTGTGAATATGAAAATTTTGGATCTTTGTTCTGGATTCCAGGATTTCCTTTGGCTTAAATAATCACGCTACGTCGAATTGATTTGAAGATAACGATAACTAAAATGTTAACTTTAGATAATAACCAGATATATAGTTATAAATCGATATACTATTCGAACCTTATGCATGAGTTCCTGATCCAATTATATTTGTATAATTTATGAAAAGGTTCGAATTTTCATGTTGTGACCAATGATTGCTGATTCATGCAGCAGATTTTTAAAATTTTGACTAAACTTTTTCTGCATATAGCATTCATTTACGTAAGGGAGATAGGCGTTTGCGATCATCTGCTTTTATAATTTTATTAAATGCAATTACAGTACAGCAATTATCTAGCAAAATAATAGTATTGTAACCAAACGCTAAGTGCAAATTATCGGGGAACATTGTATTCAGACAATCATACCAATCGTTAGAAGATAGGTCTTTATTGTTACATGTGCCATTCATGTCTTTATTGTTACCATTCGTATCTTAATTATACCATTTGTAGTTTCACGTAGTTATAAAGCTTGTAGCAAATAAAGAAATTATAGCAGATCAGTATGGTATAATTGAGCTGTTCCGTATAGTATAGTCCAATTTTCAAATCTATCGTAATTATAGCAGATCAATATAGTATAGGTAAGCTGTTCCGTATTGTATAGATTTGAAAATCGGCCTACACTATACTAATCTGCGAAGATATATATATATATATATATATATATATATTTTTAAAAAAAAAAAATCTATTTCGCTACCATATAAGCGCGAAATAACGCCAACCTGCGTGTTATTTAATGGATCTGCGATTTATTACCGTATAAGCGCGGA